TCCCACCACCACCACCACCACCGTTTTCTTTAGTCCTTCCTTTCAACTAATGCATCTGATTTTCTAACTCTTCTCACTTGTACAATCCTTCATCTTCGCAATACGTTCATCAATATCTGAATAGATGCGATCATCCACTTCCCCTTCTTCTGCATTACCAGAGACTATTTTAAGAATTGTCTCAATAAGTTCATGATTCCCAAGAATATCCACATGATCTCCACTTGCCGCCCCTCCACGAATACCTAATGAGTTTACAGTGATATCTTTATATTCACGCGTTACTACACGGCCAGTATTACGTTTCCATCCATTCTCCGCACGGCACATATATCCCAATGAAAGCAGTGGCACAGTACCATCCCCATTGCCAAGCACCACACCATTCACAGTCCGTTTTTGTTCTTGATACGTGAGATTAATCGTATTATCCTCTGAAAGTACATATCCAATCTCTGTTAACTTATCCACACCGTAGAGACAAAAGACGGTGGTGTTGGTTGTGGGTGGAAGTGACGGAAGTTTCCCAAAGTGGGCAATATGTTCCTCCGCCTCTTCTTTTAATGCCTTATGTCCACTTTCACGAAGACGTTGTGCCGTTAATTTAAATGTCTCTTTTGCAGATAAACGAGTTCCATTTGAAAACGTTAATAAATCTTCATGTGCGGCATCACATCCAAATGGATGCATTGCGGTTTGACAGGACCATGTGCGAATGACTTCTGTGCGAAGATCTCGTGAAAAGTGTGTATCGAATGCCTGACGAACGGCACTTGGAAGTGTGACGGTGTCTTTCGCATCACCGGTGAGAAGGGCGGAAACACTTTTTGGAAGTCCCAACACCGGGCCGCCAATGTTAATCCAATAGGCCACATATTTATCCACCCAACCCGGTTCACGTTCCTCCATCCAATTAAAGAAGTCAAGAATAACACTGGTACCATAACTATGAGAAATAAGAACCACACGATCTTTATTCTTATCATATAAATAGAGAAGATGATAACGTAGATAGTAATAATATCCATCTCGTTTATGCATTCGTCGTGGAGAGAGTCTCCAATCATAGGAGAAGACACTCATACTTTGTGGATCGTAGCCAATATCAGCGAGATTTAATAATACCTTTGCCCACACCCAATATCCAGGTAAGAAAAAGTCAGAAGCTCCAAATCCCATATCCGGACGAACCTTTACACCGGGTGGATCATATCCAGTTTCCTTATCCAGTGAAAAGAGTCGCATATAACACGCTGGATCTGTTAAGAGTAATAATAACATTTGTGGACCAAACATACGTTGACGAAAAATAGATGCAAATGGATGAAGATCTTTTACACATTCGGTTTGACTTTCCCACACCTCAAGGGCTGTGGAGATAAATCCTGGAATAATCATCACAGGATGTTTACGACGTATACTGTGATTTTCCAAGAAACGAAGACCTGGACGATCATTATCGGCAACAATAAAAGAAGCTGTAAAAGATGTCATATCTTCATGAAAATTATAATAACCAAGAAGAATAGCGATGATAAGAAAAACAAGCATAACACGTCGATGAGTTAAAAAATCCAAAGCATAAAAAGCTGGTCTTTTTGCAAATGATGGTACTATACGATCAACTAATTTATATGTACGTACTTGTTCTGGAGTTACACCACTGTTTACGGGTTCTTCATCAAATTCTTCACGTGTAAACATTAATGAAATCAATCTTGGTATCCATCCAGTACCATTAGACTTTGATGAACCATTCTCCTTCTCCTTATCAGAACTCGAACTATCACTTTCTTCATAATAAGACCATGGAGATAAGAAACTTGGCAGTAATCGTTTTTTCACACTTCTCATACCAGCAGGTATTCGTTCCACATGTTGCGGTGGGATATGTGTTTTTATTTCTTTATTATTATCTTTATTATTATTTTTTGTGGTTTGTTCCGATTGGGCTATTTCATATATGGATCGTGGTAGTTTATGCACATGATTAGACTCAGGTAGTCTATAATATGATGGTGGGGTAAAATTGTATGGAGATTTCGTTTTCATTCTATGCATTTCACTCGTACAGAAGGGTTGACCATGAATAAACCGTTCCACAAAGGGAGAGGCTCTGTGTGTAGAAGTGTTCCTTAATACTGTAGATGTGTTTTCCCCTTGTGAGGGTGTTTGCAGAGAGTGAGAGATGGATAAACTTCTTGATGTGGTTCTTCTTGTGTTGGCGGAGTTGGTAGAGTCTTTACTTGGACTTTCTTCCAATTCCACATGCTTATTATGGTTTTTATTATTTTTATGTTCATTTTGTTTTCCTGAGATAAGAGAGGAAGGAGCCTCATTTGCAGAGTTCCGAGATATATTTCTGGGGTCTATCTCATGTGAGATGTCTTCTTCCTTTTCTGGATTCTTATATCTTCTCTGCTTCTTCTTTCCACCCTTGTGGGGCATTCCCTGCAAATGTAAACCACCACTCCCTTCTGAATATATATATATATA